TCAGCTTATCTGTCCCGTGCTGCGGTGTCTCAGCAACCTGCTTGTGGAGGATGAGACAGAGGGCTGCAAAGTGCAGATCCAGGATGAGCGCCTCTTGGTGGCTTTGTTTCTCTTCATGCAGTACTTCCTCCAGCAGCACCCGTTCCTAGTGCAGGAGTGTCTCTGGCTTCTCAACAACCTCACAGGTGACTTTCCCATGCACCCTGGCTGGGCATAGCACCTAATGGGAATTCTTCTAGAACTTGCTACAGGAATAGAGTGACTAACATAGCTAATGGCTGGGGTTTCTGGGACTTGCCTCAAATCAAAGTCAGGGAGACTCACATTTTTTGTAGATCACCTCTGAGAAGGGACAGAGCTCCAAAGAGACCTTGAAACAGAACCTGTGGTGCTGCTACAGCTCATCATTGGGCTAGGACTAGACTCATGCAGGAAGGGCATGCCAGAGTTTTAATTTGGGAGACACAAGATAACACACCCAGAGGCAGAACAGAAAACACAGGTGTTAATCTTAGTACCCACTTCATCATCCCCGTGCTCCCATGTTCTTGAGTTCCTCTCCTTGGCCACTCACATGTTCATCCATCTCCAACATGTTCTGGGTGGTATGCTTGATATGAGACAGCATGGCGCTCCCTTCCAATGTAGAGTGAGGATTCCACTGCAGCTGCTAAAATTTCTTACTGTCTCTAATCTTCCATGCCCAGCTGTGCTGATATTGATACTTTCACAACATCCCCCATCCTAGTGCAATGAGCACACACAGACATATCAGACACATAGATGAACATGATAATAACATGGCTTTTGTAAAGGAAAATCATGCCTCATCACTCTATTAGAATTCTTTGAGGAAGTCAACAAGCATGTGAAAAAGGGTGATCCAGGTGGACTTTGAGAAAGCCTTTGACAAGGTCCCACACCATAGGCTCTTAGGTGAAGTAAGCAGTCATGGGATAAGAGGGAAGATCCTCTCACGGATCAGTAACTGGTTAAAAGATAGGAAACAAAGGGTAGGAATAAATGGTCAGTTTTCACAGTGGAGAGAGAGAAACTGCAGGCTCCACCAAGGATTTGTACTGGGACCAGTTCTATTCAACATATTCATAAATGATCTAGAAATGGGGGTAAACAGTGAGGTGGCAAAGTTTGAAAATGATACAAAATTACTCAAGATAGCTAAGTCCAAAGCTGACTGCGAGGAGTTACAAAGGGATCTTACAAAATGAGGTGACTGGGGGGGAAAATGGCAGATGAAATTCAGTATTGATATGTGCAAAGTAATGCACACTGGAAAAAATAATCCCAACTACACATACAAAATGAGGGGTCTAAATTAGCTGGTAACCACTCAAGAAAGATCTTGGAGTCATCATGGATAGTTCTCTGAAAACATCAGCTCAGTGTGCAGCAGCAGTCAAAAATTTTAACAATAGGGAATCATTAGGAAAGGGATAGATAAGAAGACAGAAAATACAATGCTATTATATAAATTCATGTACACACACCCCTTGAATATTGTGTGCAGTTCTGGTTGCCCCAGAATTGGAAACTGTACAGAGAATGGCAACAGAAATGATTAGGGGTATAGAACAGTTTCCACATGAGGAGCTTAGAAAAGAGATGAGTAAGGAGACTACGATAGAAGTCTCTAAAATCATGACTGGTGTGGAGAAAGTTAATAAGGCAATTTTATTTACGCCTTCATAACACACAAGAATTGGGGATCACCCAATGAAATGAATAGGCAGCAGGTTTAAAACAAACATAAGGAAGCACTTCTTCACACAACACATAGTCAGTCTGTGGAACTCATTGCTAGGGGATGTTGTGAAGGCCAAAAGAATAACGGGGCTCAAAAAGGAATTAGATAGATTCATGAAGGACAGGTCCATCAATGGCTATTAGCCAGGATTGTCAGGGATGCAACCCCATGCTCTGGGTGTCCCTAAACCTCTGACTGCCAGAAGCTGGGAACGGATGATAGGGGATGGATCACTCAATAATTTCCTGTTCTGTTCATTCGTTCTGAAACACCTGGCATTGGCCACTGTTGGAAGACAGGATACTGGGCTAACTGGACCATTGGTCTGACCCCAGATGGCCATTCTTATGTAGAGTCTCTCCTTATATATAGCAGCAAACCCTCCACTTCTCTACCTCAGTCAGTGCATGCTCCTGCGCGCCTCGTCTGGAAGGCCCTTTTTCAGTAATCTGTTTGGGTTTCCTTAATACCTTTGTCTCCTGATCTTCCCAGCTGATGAGCCCTTCTTCTGCTCTGCCGTGCTCACACTGGACCTGCTCCCAGCCCTCCTGCAGCTCTTGTCCTGTTCCCGGATGGTGACCCTGCTGGTAGGGAATCTCTCACTACATGGGCTATTGTGTTCTTTAGAGCAGCTAGAGCAGTCAGTTTTCTGGGCCTCTGGTGACAGGTAGAAGCCACTGGAAGGGATTGTGCTCCTGTGGTTGGGCCCTGTACGTGGGAGGTCCATATGTATATCGGAGGTTTTATCAGCCCACGATGAGGGTGAGATAAGTACCCACCGCCTCACCTGGTTAATTCACCTCGGTCCTATTTGTTTCTTTTTAAAGACAGTCCCCTCCCCCATTCCTTATTAGACTCTGTATTCATGCCTGCTTATGGAGGCTCTGACTGCATCCTGCCCTGGGAGGGTTTGGAGCCCATTGAAATGCTCATCCCCATCCCAACTTGTGTGTCATCATGGGAGGAGTTGGCAGAATATGAGGGGAGCTGCCTGCCCAGGTTCTAGTCTCCTAATATGCCAGTGGATAATAAGCCATTCCAGCAGACAGTCCAGTGCCTTCTTGCTTTGAAGGGGACTGGTCCAGCTGAGAGCAGCCGCTGAACTTCCTCCGGTAGGAAAGCTAGTGTAGACCAACTAAAAGATGCTTCAAAATCCAAGCAGTGAAAGAGGAACACACTCTAATGCAGTGCAGATAAAAGGAGCAGCCGGGATCTAGCGCTGCCAGTACTCGGGCTTGGAGGCAGCCAGTTCAAAAGTAGTACACGTGAAGGGATTTTTAAGAAAGCACTTTCAAAGCGTCTTGAACGCCAACAGGAGCTGCTGCATACTCTGCCTTTCCAGCAGCCTCAGTGAGGGAAAGGCCTAGACCAGCCTGTGCTTAAATAGAGAAAACCTATTGCCCTGCGCTAGTGTGTTCTGCTGGCAGGAGACTGCCATGGCTCCCCACCAAGCCTGCAGGGAGTTAACCCTCAGGTCTTTGTGCAACCCAGCCTGGCAGGCAGCTCCAGCACAGAGTGACTGTGGGCACAGGAATGCCTGCCAGTGTACCAAGCCCCATGCTAAGCACAAGTAGACTCCACATGGCCTCAGCAGGTTGTCACCTGCTCAGAAAGCTCATCTCGCCCTGCCCTAGAGCCATGCAGACAACGGCAGGGGAGTGGGGTTCTAGCATGCCAATCTCCGCCTTCGAAGGTTTGCTGTACTGCAGGGCCGTCTCCTTCGAGGGGTGACAGCATTTCCTGCTTCTCTCCATGTCCTCCTCGGAGGTGGTTATCCAGACTGCACCATCCTGTGGCAGGGAGACATACAGGACTGACAGCTGGTTGGTTCTAGTCAATATAAAACTTGTGACCAACCTCAGTAATGTCATTTCCCTGGGTGTCAGTTACTGAGCCATGCAGCTTGGGATACTCATGCCAGCTCCCTCTCTAGGCTCTGACTGTGCTGTGTAACATCGCCGAGAAAGGCCCTGCCTACTGCTACCAGCTGCACCAGAAGGCTGTGCTGCCCTCGCTGCTCAGCACCCTTGCTCTTTCCGATGCCCAGGTGGTGGGCCAGAGTCTAGAGCTGCTACATCTCCTCTTCCTGCACCTGCCAGAGGTAGGGCTCAGCTAAGACCTCCAGTTTCCCTGCATTGTGCAATGGCCGGGGAACTACGGTGGTAAACTAACAGCTACCATCTAACCTGAGCAGGGGAACTAAGAGGCTATGCTGTGGAAAGGTGCCAGGGGGAACCCTGCTCCCTCAAGGCCTCTCTGTATCTAAAGAGCAGCAAGAGCACAGTCCATGCGAACTTTACTGTGCCTCAACCCAGCGCTGCAGGGACTGATCACCTCAGGGTTCTAAAATGGGGATAAGCTGAAACCGTTAAGTCAACTATTAGTCTGAGCATTTCACCTAGGTCCTGGGGCGGGAGGTGCATTAGAAATTAATCCTTCAGCCCCTTTCCCAAGAATCAGGCATGATGGGTTCTATGATAGAGACCATGGAGAACTAGATCCACTCATCCCACGTGGGCTGCTCAGCCGCCATCATTAGGCTGGGCCTAGCTCTAATCTGCTGTCTGTCCTGGAACAGGCTGCTGACGACTTTCTCAGCCAAGCAGGACTGCAGGCCCTAGAACAGCACCAGGACAACCCCCAACTCCAGGAGCGAGTGAGGGCTCTCAGCGAGACATACCTCCAGCCAGCTGCAGCCTCTCTGATCTCCTGCGCCGGTGCCTCAGCTGCTGTACTGCCCTCCTCCTAGACCACGCTGCATCCACTCCTGCTTCTCTTCCCATTTGCACTAATTCTATCCCATGGACTTTGTACATTGAGAAGTTATTTTGGAATTTAATAAACTGTTTTACATTGTGCCCTCTGCTGTCATAGCGTGAAGCCAAGCCCTAATAGGACAGTGCCAGCTGATTTTACTGCCCCCCAGCTGTCTGGAAAGTCTATGGGATGGTTCCCTAGAGAATGGCAGCCATAACAAGCCCACAGACTGCCAGAGGTTACCTCACCCTTCTCCATAAAGGTACCCTCCCTCCAGCACAGCAAGCTGCTCACATGACTGCTCAGGTAGGGAACAGAGATAGGTCTCAACTGAGTAGAAGGGAAGTGGCTAAATCCTGGACAAGAGGTGAGTGTACCCCAGTGGATTTGCTCCCTCTTCAGTGCCCCCCACCGTATGTGGGAGGATGAGGAGCTACCTCCCAGCTTAGCATCTCTTTTAGAACAGACTCTCAGAGCACTTTGTCAGACATGCTTTTATATGCGATTAATAAGTTACAATTACAGATATACAGCTTCTCCATTAAACCCATTCAGGCAAGGGCTCCAGCACATGCAGGTTCAGTTCTCTTTGTCTTCATGTTTTGCTGTGAACAACATTCTCCAGGGCCTTGGCCACTTGATCCACATTGAGATTATTCAGTGGCACGCAACTCTCTCTGCCGAACTCTGGGTGGGGGGGGGGGGGGGAAGAGAGAGAGAGAGAATTAGATGAAGAGGCCACCTTGTCCCCTTCCCCCAGGAGAGGCAGTGCTGGATTTATTCCCTAGTGCCTTGGCCAGTCTCATAAGTGTAGGTTTTGACAAGCTGGTCAATTGACCCCCTATTATTTGACCATGGTGAAATATTCCAACAGGAATACCTGATGTAGGTGACGGCTGACTTTTGTGACTGCATGATGGAGCCATTCCTTCATTTTTTAAACTTAATTTCATTGTGTTTTCCATTTATCTGAGTTAAAATAACTCAGTTAAGTACATTGTTTTTTGTAGTTAGGCATAAGTGGCTAAGGCAAAGCCTATTGCAGACCATAGTCTTACTCTTTTGTTACTGTTCTAACAAATTAGGGCTCTAAAATATTTGACCAGTTATTTTTAGACCAGTCAGATACCCAACTCGAGTGTTCTATAGCATGGGGCTTCCACTCTTTCCTTTAGATTATCTCATAACCTCTCTGTAAAGAGCCTTTCCCAGACTCAGCTTAAGTGTTCCCCTTTCTGTTTCTTAGTTATAACCCTCCTCTTCCTCCTTGGTGTTCACACTCTTCAAAACATATGCAGATTTTTTCCCTCCCTTCTAGTTTTTGCTCATCTGAACTCTGCATGTTTAGCCCACTTTCCTTGTAAGTCAGCCCCACCCCCACGAATGGCTATGCAGATTGTCTCACTGGCTAGTCCCCAGAAGCAAGGAAGAGACAGCCTACTACCAAGCTGTGAGGGACACTTGTATTGAAGGCAGAGCAGACTTGCGTTTTCATTTTTATCTGCAGCCTGTTCATCTCAGAGTCCTGACTAAGGCTTGGGGAAAAGCTGTTTGAAAAGATTGGTTACTGCACTGACTGCCATTTGGCACTGCAGCTCTTCTTCTCGGTTCTCAAGGAGCCTCCATCATAACAGAGTTCTGCACACTAACTAAATGTCCCAAATCAGAAAAGCAGCATTTCCTGTGGTAGTCTTCAGAATCCCCCCATTCTCATGGTTTAGTAAGAGAATAAGTCTGTGTAATTAACTGGCCTTCTTTATGCTTCTGATTCCACCACTAATTATTTTTTTTAAAACTCCAACCAGAGTTCATGGCTAATCCTCAGTGGGTCAGTTTAAGCTTGAAATTGCTATAGCTGGTTTGCGCCATATGAGATTTCCACTTTGGTTCAAGAGCTGTAGTTGTGAGCCTCGCTAGCTTTTTGCAAATATAGCTACAAAGGGGACAGCTACACAGCAAAATCCAAAACCCTGTGGCAGCTAGTCTCAAAGCCTGGCTCATCTGATTCAAGTTTGCACCAGAGGGCTAAAAATAGCAGCAAGGAAGTTCTTACCCAGGCTGGAGACTCTCCCTGCTTCGCTGGGTTTCGGAGTTCAGGTTCCTGCCCATAGCGTGAGCCCAAGGCAAGAATTTTCTGTTGCAAACATTCAGCCTGCAGTCAAGCATGTTTGTGTCTGCGTAACAACTCTGTGCATTTAAAGCAACAGACCACTCTTCCAGTTTAGCTACACGGGGAGAAGTCTGTCTATTGTGAGTGTGCAGCACATTTTACTCATTTAAACACTTTTTTTTAAAAAAAGGAAAAATCTGTTCATTTCACAGGCTACCATTACATTTAAGGCTTCACAGAGACACTTCTGCATCAGACAGAGCATTCTAGTGTTAACAGGGTCACCCAATTTTATTTTTTATTTACTAATTTTTTTTAAACTTACTTTCTGATAGAGCCCTGTTTAGACAGTATGTCCTGAATGCTTTTTAAAACATTCCTTTAAGAAGTGGAAAGTTTTTCCTGTTCGCTTGGTGTTTATAAGGATCTGTCTAGCTAGGGATAATTACTATAGACTAGGGAAACAATGAAACCAATTACACAAACAAGTAAAACGGGGGGGAAAAAATAGAAACCTAGCAAAAAATATCCAGCTTTGTTACAGGAATTTTAGATGGGGTAACAACAGTAGGTACAAAGTTTTAAGGTGGACTTGTAATTTTCAAATTGACTATCCCTTTAAAGATTCACACCACAAAGTTCACTTAGCCCCACTGTGCAGATGCATAGACACATACACACACCATTCAGAATCACTGTTTAAGCAGTTGAACTGGTAGGGCAGAGCACCACTGCAAGTACCCCGATTTCTGAACTTCCTAACGAGTTCATGTCTCAGACTTCCATTAGGCAGTTTTTAGCCTTTATTTTGTACAGTGCCTCTTTTTTTTTTTTTTTTTGCCCTTTCCCAAACCAAGCAGGTCCTAGCCTCATCTCTCCACATATGGAAACTCCTCCTTGATGTGTAATTTGCACTGCTCTTTCCTGGATTGTGAGCAGTTTATTGCTGAATTTCTAGTTTGATACAGACCCCAGTGTTCTTGTCAAACTCGGAGCTAATGACATTGACTAGGGCTCCTTCCCAACTCACCGTATCGAGCCCAGAGCTTAGGCTGCACATCAGAGCACTCCCGAATCAGGATGGGGAAATCCGGGTTTGCCTTCTTCAGAGTCACGTAGTGCTGTTCAATGAAGTCTCTGTCAAAAACAGAGCTAATTAAAGCTCTGTGTCATTTCCAAGTACAATTATGTCAAACTAAAGAGAATAAGTAGTTTTCTCTACTGGGGTCTCAGAAGTGTTATATGCACCTGGCCCTTCCAAAGCATCAACAGCCTCTGGAAGCAGGCAGTAGAGAGGACCACTGTCTACGGAAGGGTACAGTAATGAACATCTTGTCTGTACACCAATTTCACCCCAGCTCTGCTCCCTCTTGCACAGCTCAGCAGTCCTGTGGACCTCACCAGGGCTACGTGAAGCGTAGGACAAGTGTTACAGAGAAACAGGACATGTCAAAAAAACAACAGTTATACTAGTAGTGTTCTTACACAGGATCTCCATTCTACTTTATGCTTGAATCAAGTCACAAACAGTATTGCCCTTTGACCTCAGCCTGAGTGAACAGTCCCCTATCACAACAGTGCCTGGAGAATTCCTTCTGGCATATACAGTGGGACTCAAGCAGGAAGGTGTGGAAATTGCTCAGAGAAGCAATTTGTACATACCTCCCTCTTGCAGGGTGGAAGCTGTGAAAGGGGAGACTCAAAACAACACAGCCTTTCGCTGAGATTTAAACATTTACCAACACATCAGTCCATGCGGTCCAGGAGCATCTTTTAACCACTGACCCATATTACTATCAGAGCACCTACAGGACACGGTGTCCACCCAGGGCACCTAGACAGGCCTCTCACCTACATTCACACCAAGCCCCATCTCCATGACATCACCCTCCCTGTCCTAAGTGAGCATGCCATTATTACTGCAGTTATTAGGAGTCTTGGAGGTTTATAGGCTTTAGGCACATTAATAACAGAAAAAAAAAGATCTAGTTACTCTCACTTAGCTGAGCTAGTGTCAGTCAATAAACAGCTCCCTAGATACAATCCCTACCCTAAGGACAAGCCTAGAAAAATAGGCCTTACAATATACGCAGGAGTCAATAAGTCTAGGGAGCGTGAGCTCAACCCCCAGCCCCTGATCTATACATGCATCACCCCCACAATTCATAGGGGTGCTGTCCAAATTGCACACAGCCCGGAACCATCTCTCCAGTAAAATCCAATCAAGTGATGCTTTGCAGTAGCAAGTAATCACTATTAGTTTATTTGAGATATGACGTCCACTCTGGCTCACTCAGCCAGCCTTTGGGAAAGCTGAACAACTGTACTATTACAAGTCAAATGTAAAAAGTCAACTTATGTGTCATCCCCACAGTGACTATACTGCAACTCACCAGCAATGCCCTCGGAGGAGGAAACTGCCCCATGGGCAGGTTGTTCCATAACTGCCCGCTTTGGGGTACCTGCACCTCACTCTGCAATCTCCAGTACTAGCCACTGCCAAAAAAGAGATTGTGGACTAGCAAGAACACTCACTTGGTCTGATACAGTCATATTTAGGGTCCTGTCTTTGATTATTGGCAGAGAGAAGTGATTTACCACCATGGGGAGTTTCCGTGCAATGCCAAGGCTGAGGCAGACTGAAGGTTGAGAGGAAACCTGTAGATTACAAGTACTGCCCAATCAGTCTTTGCCACCCTCACCATCTCAATTACCTTCCCTGTCAGGGTATCGGTGTGGGGTGACCAAACGTCCCGTTTTGGACGGGACAGTCCCTTTTTTAAACCCTGTTCCGGCCGTCCCAACTTTTCTGGCAAAAGTGGACATTTTGTCCCATTTGCTCTTGCTAGCTGATCAAGTTGGAAAGAGCAGAAGGGACAAATGCACATTTTGTCAAAGTGGAGAGCCGAGGAGGGTGAGCAGGGATGCCAGGCCCGCGGAGGGGAGGAGGCAGGGCTCAGGTGAGAGGCAGACAGGGCTCGAGCGAGCAGTTCAGGCCAGCCCCATGCGGGGAAGAGGGGCAGGACTTGGGCCGGCAGTTTGGGCCAACCCCATGCAGGGGACGCAGAAGCCCTCGGGCTAGCCCCATGCAGTGTCCCGTTTTCCCTTTGGAAAATATGGTCAACTAGGCAGAACCCAACTGCAGCTGATCAGGGACGATCAGGTCCCAGTTTTCAGGGTGGTTCCAGACATCTCACCGGACGTGTGGCTGCCCATTGTCTCCCTGCTGCCATGTGCTCCCCTGTCTGTCTCGATCCGCCCGGTGTCTCCTGGTTTATGACTAAGATCCGTGGGGCAGGGGCCCGTCTCTTTGAGGGGGCCGTGCAGCACTGAGCACACTGGGGTCCTGCTCCCTGCCAGTGTAGTGTGAAAAACTGCTATCTGTCTTAATTTGCTACCACTAGCAGTTACTGATATTAGACTGCTATCTGACAATCTGCTACTGGAACAGGGATAGCAAATTCTAACCAGTAGCAGTTACTGATAAGTGAGGTTGTCCTTACTTTCTGACTTGTCCCAATTTGCTAGAACTTCAGTGATGTGGGATGGAAGCATAAAGTCTTCGGCTTCCAAATGACCCTGCCTGGTGTACATATGTATTAATTACCTCTTAATTGAAGGAGGTCATTTAAACATCATTTATTTTGCAGCTTCATTTACTGTGCTAGCAAAACATAGCCAGTGCAATACTAGAAACACAGGTTTCAGAGGGGTAGCCGGGTTGTTGTTTTTGCTGATACAGACCAAGGAGTCCTTGTGGATCCTTAGAGACTAACGAATTTATTTGGGCATAAGCTTTCATGGGCTATAACCCACTTCATCAGATGCATGGATTGAAAAATACAGTAGGCAGATATAAATATACAGCACATGAAAAGATGGGAGTTGCCTTACCAAGTGGGGGTCTGTGCTAACGAAGCCAATTCAATCAGGGTGGATGTGGCCTATTCCCAACAGTTGACAAGAAGGTGCGAGTATCAACAGAGGGAAAATTACTTTTTGTAGTAACCCAGCCACCCCAGTCTTTATTGAGGCCTAATTTGATGGTGGCAAGTTTGCAAATTAATTCCAACTCCGCAGTTTCTCATTTAAGTCTATTTTTGAAGGGTTTTTTGTTGGGGAATAGCCACTTTTAAGTCTGTTATTGAGTGTCCAGGGAGATTGAAACACAGATGTCATTGCTAAAACTACTAGCAAGTACTTACTTATACATATTTTCAATGAGTATTATTAAAATATAAATTAAATAGCTCAATGACCTGCATCTGCACAATAACAAAGGTAAATGGTGAAGCACTAAGAGTAATTCAGGGAATCCCAGCAGCAGATAAGACAAATTTGTGAATTGCTATGAGACTTTATGCAATCAGATGCACTGATAAGGGATTCTTGTTTCTGAAGGGGTATATGTAAAATATTTCACTGAATCAAGTCTCCTGCAGCACCTCAATAGGTTAGGAGCTGCTGTGACTAGGCATTGGGATGCCTGTGCCTTTAAGAACCCAGCCCTGGGAAGCCCATGCTGAGATGTACTGTCCTGTGGGAGGGGAAATGAAAAAGCCCCTCTGCCCCCCTCCCCATTTTTGCAAACACTATTGTCTAAGTCCAGTAACTGTTACCCCCTCTGCCCCTGCTCCCCCCGCCATTTTGCCCTTCAGCCCTTATCTTAACCCTGCCTCCAACTGCTTGAACCCCCCGACCAGTCAATTTCCACCCTCTGCTCCCCCGTCCTCCGATTTGCCCCCTTTGGCCCTGTAAAAAGCACTCCGCAGAATCTGAGGCCAAGTAAGGGCAGGGTGAAGGGCAATGGCTTCAGCAGATGCTACTAAGCATGCTCAGCAAATTAAGACAAAGAGCCGTTTTTCACACTATACCGACGCGAGGACGATGATGACGGTAACTAGGAGATCCCCAGTGTCCCATCGGGAGGGAGGCGCTGCTGCCTGTCCAAGGATCTCGGCCCCCGCCCAGCCCTCCCGAGGTGCCCCGCACCTGGTGCCCTGGCTGCCCGGCGAGCGCTGACACAGGTGGATCCGAAGCTCCTTGAGGCTCCGGCCCAGACCGCTCCCGATACTCCGCACAGCCGCGGCTGCCGCCATCTTCCCAGTGTTCTGCCTCCTTCCTAGCCAATCCCATAGCCGGCAGGAAGGGGAAGCCTGAAGCATGATACGGGACTCAGCCAATCAAAACACGCTTCGAACCTCATCAGCCAATCCGCAGGCGGCTGTGCGGGCAGACTGGGGGCGGGGCTTCAGTTTCGTTCCGCTCTGCTCCCTGCGCGGGGCATTGTGGATAGATCGCGCGCGGAGCATTGTGGGAAGTAGAGGGTCTCGGTTGGTTCTGTGGTGGCGTCGGTTGTGCGGGGAAGATGCCGGAGCGAGACAGTGAGTGTTGGGCCCGAGAGCCGAGGGAGGGGCACTGTCAGGCTCCGTCCTCCCCTCTTGGGGCGGCCCCCGCCGGTCTGTGGAGTGCAGGGTCCCCTCCCTGCCCCAGCGCGGACCCGGAGCTCTCGCCCCGGCAGGGAAGTCACTCAGAGACTGTTCAAAACTAGCTACTCGCGGTGCTGCCGGGCCGGCGGTGGAGCTGCCTGTGAGCGCCCACCTGGAGCGAGCGTGTGTGTGTTGGGGGGTCGATGTCGGGATGCTACAGGGTGTTTGCATTGGGCAGGCACTGAAACAGCTCTTCCCCACTTCCCGTAGTGCTCACGGGGCCCAGCGATGAGGTACTCCCCAGGATTAAACATTATTCTTAAAAATGGGATCGACCTATCTACAGTGCTTAGGGCTGTGAAAAATTTTGCACCCTGAGCACAACCATTAGGTCGATCTAACCCCTAGTGTAGCCACAGCTAGATCGATGGAAGGAGTCATCCTTCGACCTAGCTACCACCTCTGGAGAGAGGGAATAACTATGTCAATGGAGATACCCCTTCCATCCACGTAGGAAGTGTCTACCCTACAGCGGCACAGCTGCAGCGTCGTACAGTGCTGCTATAGCGGCTTTATTATAGACATACTCTCACAGTTAAGGAGATGATAGACAATGGCAAATGCTTCTCCTGCATTTATTTCCTGTTGGGGCTAGCTGGAGGATCACAGAATCTTCACTCCAAAATAGGGCTGGCTTTCCTTTGGTGTTTTTTTAGGTGCTGGGTAAAAGTCAATATCCTGGGTATTTTCCCCATAACCCAAGAATTTTACTCCTTCACTGGGCCTTTGGGGCTTTGTTGTTTAACATAACTTCTCTCCATTGCCTTGTGAGAGATGATGCTATTGATCAGTGAGGGATGCTCCTTTTGTAGTTCTGAATTCTCTAATGTAACCATCTGTGAGACTGCTAACGACAAATAACATTCCTGTATAAAAGTGCCTTCCCACCTCAAAGTGACTGAGAGTGATTCCAGAGCATTAGTATTCCGACTCCTCTTAAACTGATGCCAGGTTATAAGGATCAAAGGGTCATAACAGAGCACTGTTCAGTAACTGACTAGGCTAAGGTTTCAGAGGGGTAGCTGTTAGTCTGTATCAGCAAAAACAACAAGGAGTCCTTATGGCACCCTAGAGATTAACATATTTATTTCGGCATAAGCTTTCCTGGGCTATAACCCACTTCATCAGATGACTAGGCTAAAAATGTCAGTTGTGTATTGATGTGCTCTGTGAAGGGAGAATCTGTCACACAGGTATGTGGCATAAGCTTATTTTATTGGGAGGGGTGTGTGTGTGTGAAATCTAATTTTCTGTTTGCTGCTCACTGAAATCTGATTTTGAGTCGTCTGTCGTCTAAGATGCAGGGCCTGGTATAGGTTTGGGCTTGGCAGCACAGTGTACAGATTGATAGGCTCTAACCAGCTCTCTTTTTCCTTCTCCAAGGTGAACCGTTCTCCAACCCTCTGGCCCCAGATGGCCATGAGGTGGATGATTCCCACTCCTTCAATCAGTGAGTATAAAAGCTTTTGCTCTCTGTTTCCTTCAAATGGAAAGGTAGTGGGCACAATATGGTGTACTGTGGGGAGGAAGGATTTGGATACTGTTTCTGTGCTGCAGTCAATCTCTTGGCACCAGTTAATAGATTTCAAGGCGAGAAAGGGACCATTATGCTCATCTAGTGTGATGTGCTGCATAATGCAGATAATAGATTTCTCCAGTGTGCCCAAGCCCAATCACTTGTAGCTGAACTAGGGTGTATCTTTTAGAAAGACATCTAATCTTGATTTAAAATTCCAAGTGATGGAGAACGTACCGTATCCCTGGATAAGTTATCCTCACTGTTTAAAAATGTGCATCTTATTTCCAGTTTGAACATTGTGAAACTCAGGTGAATATGGGCAATCCAGTGCAGGCTGCAATGTCACAATGTGGCCAAGCACATGCAGGGAAAAATAAAGACAAAACTGCTCTCAGCAGGAGTGTGTGATGGTCTCGTTATCACTGTTACAATGAAACATGATTCTTCCGCCTCCTAGGTCCAAGCTGACCAATGAAGACTTCCGAAAGCTTCTTATGACCCCGCGGGCTGCGCCAACATCCGCGCCCCCCTCCAAATCTCGCCATCATGAGTAAGTAGATTTCATTAATCTTTCACCGCTCTTTGACCGAATGTGAACTCATCTGTCTCAATCAGCTATTGTACATCTTACTCTCTCTTCCCTGCACTCCAGTACTGACTGACTAACTTGCTCTGTATGTTGTATATGCATTGGGGGGAACTAGTAAAATCAGGAACATCATGAATGAGAGCATGGATGCAATAGACTTATTAAAACATGCATGGGAACCCCAAGGTTTGTCTTTGGTTCTCATGTTGAGCCCTTTCACTTTCTCCCTCCCTGTTGGTACAACTAAGTTAGGTGTCCTATCGGGCAGAAATCTACTACCCTGCTCCAAATATACCTAGCTTTGGACATCTAAGTGTTAGACCTCTCAAGCCCAGGTCCCTGTGTGACTGTCGCCTCTAGTCCCTCCTGTTCCTGTTTTGTGGGTGTCTGCTGTTTGTGATGACTCTGGTTTTTCTGTTCTCTCCAGGATGCCCCGGGAGTACAATGAAGATGAAGATCCAGCTGCTCGCAGGAGGAAGAAGAAGAGGTAAATGGAGAATGTGCTGTAGCAGAAGCCACCTTCACCTGTCAGCCAGCAGCTGCCCTTTGTTTAGAATGCAGAAAGGGACCCTAAGTGGCCTGGAATATCAGTGGGCTCTGAACTAATGGCAAAGGAACCAAATGATGTTAGAAGCACTCTGATAGGGAGGTTGTCACTTTTCACAACCAACAAAGTGATTGCACCGGGGAGCAGTAGGATGGTGCCACAGATTGCTTAGCTTGCCCCTGGGAGGATGTTAGGGGAGAGCACCTGACATGACTGCCCTCTGTGGGGGTGAGTTAGGACAATATGGAAGTATTCGCCCCATTCAGCATTTTCTTTCAAGTATTGAACTCATTATGGTGCATTTACACCGTTTGACTGTGCAGAGTGGGTTCTTCACTGTTAAAGCTACTCTGTTCCTCAGCAATATCTTGATATTATAATGTTATTTGTTTACCATTTGCCATACAAACTGTGTCCCCAAATGCTGTAGAGGTAAAAATATGAAGAGTGGTAAGAGAGGAAGAAAAGTTGTTTTGTCTTCCACTGAGATGTGAGGACATAGGACCGTTGGAGCTGAGAATTACAGGAAGACTGTCCTGGACAAGTGTTGCTGCTGAGGAGAAAACTATTGCACCTACAGTGAAGAGATTCTGGAAAGAGACAGATGAGGCCAGTGCCAGATGAGCAGAAGGAGTGAGAAGGGCAGTAGAGAGAGACAAGGTCTAAGAGAGTCTGCAGCAAGTCCATTAAGGGTTTTTTAAATCAAGCATCTTCAAATTAATGGGGAGCCACTGGAGGTGTCTGAGGATGGGGCTACATGGCTGAAGGAAGGCAGCAGTATTTTCTACATGCTGGAGTCTGGAGAGTTGGGACTTTAGGGGACCATGGAGAAGGGAGCTGTGCCAGCTGAGGCAGAGCAGCTAAAAGCATAGCTGAGAATTGAAGCGGAGGTGGATGGAGGCAGTGGCCCACGCAGGGCAGTGCTGTGGGAATGGGAACAGACTGGTGGTGTTGCCTGGTCACTATTTTAATCCAGTAGCTCAAACGTTTCTCCCTTTTTCTGCCCCCAGCTATTATGCAAAGCTGCGGCAGCAGGAGATTGAACGAGAGAGGGAGCTGGCTGAGAAATACAGGGATCGAGCCAAGGAGAGAAGAGACGGAGTCAACAAAGACTACGAGGAAACGGAGCTTATTAGCACGACTGCCAACTACAGGGCAGTGGGACCCACTGCAGAAGCGTAAGTTAGCTTGTGTCCAGGCATTGTCAGGGAGCTCCAGCCCAGAGCAGAGCTTGTGTAACATGCTCCCTTCTCATTGCACAGGGATAAGTCAGCGGCTGAGAAAAGGCGACAGCTGATCCAGGAATCCAAGTTCTTGGGTGGTGACATGGAGCACACTCACTTGGTGAAGGGTCTGGATTTTGCACTGCTGCAGAAGGTGAGTGCAGATAATACATCAATAGGGTTTTCCTTCTGAGTAGCAGTGTACTTTTCTGCGAGCTAAGCCATTGACTTCCACCCAGAGCCGTCCCTTGGGTACGGTGAATTGGGGCGAACGCCCTGTGCCCCATGCTTTGGGGGGCCCCACGGGAGGGGAGGCAGGCAAGTGGGGTGAGGAGGCGAATGGGGGTGAGGGGCAGGAGGGCGTGGGGGGGGTGGGGCGAGGAGGAGCCCCCCTATCAGAACCCCAGCACTTCTTGCCTGCCGGCGGGCTCCACCAATCAGCACCTCCCCCTCCCTCCCAAGGCCTACCACCTGCCGTGGATCAACTGTTTTGCGGCATCAGGAGGCGCTGCGGGAGAGGAGTGAGGGGACAGCGTGCTTGGGGGAGGAGGCAGAACTGGGCGGGGAAGAGGCGGGGTAGGAAGGGGTGAGAACGGGAAGAGGTGGGGTGGGGGTGGAGCCTTGGGGGAAGGGGTGGAGTGGGGGCAGGGCCTGGGTGGAGCCGGGGGTGAGCACCCCCCCGGGAGATAGGCGCTGAGTTTCTAATGTCCCAGACCCCACCCCTCCCTAAGGATGGCCCTGCCTCCACCCCTCAGTGCAGTAAACAAATATTATCCCCAGCTTACATGGGAAAACCAAGTCACAAATTACTCAAGTCTACATAATGATGCAGTGGCTGAACCAGGACTAGAACCCAGGAATTCTCTCTCGCAATCCCTTGCTCCAGTCTAGCTAGTGGAGCACACAGGGAAATAGCACGGTCAAGTTCTACTCTGCACCCGTTCAGCCAGTTTCTTGGTTGGAGTTGTCCTGCGTGAGGCTGGGGCAGAGCACTGGCGGTTCCACTGAAGGTGTTGGAGCCCAGGGAAAAGGGCTGGATGCCTCTCTTCTGGTTCCAATGAGCAGCTGTAGCAGGGGTAGCATTTTGACAGCATTTTCCCTTTCCGTCCGTTTTGTTGTTCTGATCAGGTGCGTGCTGAGATTGCCAGCAAAGAGAAGGAAGAGGAGGAGCTGATGGAGAAACCCCAGAAGGAAACCAAGTGAGTGCGAGAAGGCTGAGTCCTCCTTTGAGCACAGTGCAGCCAGCTCCGCAGGGGCTGGAGCAGGAATGGAAACGGCCATTCTTCTAATACTTTGTTTTCTTTTCAGAAAAGATGAAGATCCTGAAAATAAAATAGAATTCAAGACTCGTTTGGGTATGAATGTGTCCATGTGGCCACTTGGGTGTGTTACGCTGGTTGTGCAGAGACTAGGAAGGGGCTTGGTGCATGGCTGAGGATCATGCCCTGGGTTTGGTGGAGAGGAAGCCTAGCAAATTGGTTGGGGAGTTGTGGAGGACTCCGTGGATTGGTGAGGAGCTGGCCGATCGGTTGGGGCTCTCAGGAGAGAGGCTGTGAGTGAGATTCTGGAGCCTCTGAGTGCAGGGATAGTTTAGCTCTTGCAGTCAATAGACGTTTGGGTATTTTGGTTTCCTCTTCTCCTGAGCCACTTTGTTTTACGCTTCCCTCTCTTCCCCAGGTCGGAACATCTACCGCATACTGTTCAAGACAAAGGCATATGAGCGGAACGAGCTGTACCTGCCGGGGCGGATGGCCTATGTAGTCGATCTGGATGACGAGTACGCAGACACAGATATCCCAACCACCCTGATCCGGAGCAAAGCTGACTGCCCCACCATGGAGGTAACTGCCTAGGCCGTCCTGGTCTTCTTACTGCACTGTCTGATAGCACTGGTTCTAGCTCAGCAGGAGCATAGCTGCTCAGAGTCCTGCCTCACGGACGGGCTGCAATTCTCAGGGGTTCTCTTTCTGGGGAATCATTCCTTCTCTCGGCGCTTTCTCTTCCAGGCACAGACCACACTGACCACAAACGACATTGTCATCAGCAAGCTGACTCAGATCCTCTCCTACCTGAGGCAGGGGACCCGCAACAAGAAGCTCAAGAAGAAGGACAAAGGTAGCCCTGAGGGGAGGAAACATCAAGGAGACAGTGTCTGACAGAAGCAGGAAGGGGCCATAGGAACTGGCTGCACAGATAGAGCCAATGTGGGGAATATGCAGGGCACAGACCGGGTGCGCAATGGAGGGGGCTGAGATGGTCAGCGGAGCCCCTTCTCTGGTGGGATGCAACATCGTAGCTAGAAAAGTTATTGGCTGGGCTTTGGTCAGCCACAAACTGCGGCTTGATCTTAGTGAAATTACAAAGGAGTGAAGGGAGCTGTGTGTATCCTAGCAGGGCTGGATTTCCATCGCCTTGTGGGATGGAATCAGGGGGTGGGGCTCCTGTGGCCCATGATGGGATGGATTTGGGGGGACAGGGTTTTTAGGAATGAAGTGATGGATCCTGGCAGATCCTGGCTAATCTAAAAGTGCAGGCTCTAAATGGGGGTTGCACTGTGCCTTTCTTGGTTTCATCTCCTTTCGGGTTGAAGAGAAACTGGTTATTTCCCATCCCCAGCGATGCAGGAGGGGGAGGGAAAGCTGTCTGGAGGCAGCTCTGCCTGCAAAGGACTGTATATATAGCCCGGGGCCTGCTGGAGGCTAGTATGGGAGGCTCTGGGAGCATCTTGGAGCCCTGCTCAGAAGCTCTGTGGTGATAGCACAAGCCCCTCTTGTGTGCACTTCAGTTGGTTGGGCAGGGCATGGGACGCAGAGAAAGCAGGTCAGAAGTGTGCTGACTTAACTGACTGCTGCCTTCTGCCCGCAGGAAAGCTGGATGAGAAGAAACCCCCTGAGGCTGATATGAAGTAAGTAACCTCCTCTGGGATGAGGGACTGTCCTCTGGGCTTTCTCTTGACTGCTCACACTAAGGGATTTGGGAATCAGGAAGTTGCCTGGTGCTTCTGGGGGTAGCTGTTGGGTTCGTTTGGGGAATTAGGGGGAGCCTAGGGGCTCTGTTTGGCCCAGTACTTCTTTACACCGGGCTTTAGAATGGAGATTTCCCCCCCCCCCCAATTCCCTTTAGGGAGAGAGATGAAAAGGCCCAGACAAGGGAGAGGAGATGTTTTTGGTTGAAATTTGAAATGGCTGGAGCGTCTGCACAAAGGGAGGCCAGTGCAGATAGCAGGAGCTGCAGAGCAGAAAGCTCTTGTTTTCAGTGGAGAAAAATGTGTGCTAGATGAGCATAGGGATGCAGCTGGCTGGGACTTCTCCGATGCTGTAGTCTTCTCTGGATTCATGCTGCTTGTTACTGATTAGCCTCCAGCTCTGAGGGGCTGATCTGTTGGCCTTTTCCGCAACACCAGTGGTAATTATAATGTCCATTTCACCTGCAGTATCTTTGAAGATATTGGTGACTACGTGCCATCCGCGGCGAAGGTGCCACGGGAGAAGGAGCGAGAGAGGTACCGGGAGAGGGAGCGAGACCGGGAGAGGGAGCGAGACCGGGAGAGGGAGCGAGAGAGAGAGAGAGAGCGGGAGCGAGAGAGAGAGCGGGAACGGGAAGAGGAGAAGAAGAGACACAGCTACTTTGAGAAACCCAAAGCTGATGACGAGGTGAGTTAAAGAAGGTCCCCTCAAATGGGCTGGGGTTATCACGGAGCAGAGGGGATTTTATACTGCGCCTCTCTGTTCCAAAATGGGGATATGGCATAGGAGAGTCATACCAACACCTGCATCTTCTGCTGGCTCCTCATGCTGCAATGAGAATACACCCTCCCAGGAGAAGAGGGAGCCCTGGGTATCCTGCTCTCCATCTCCCCATGCCGCGCGGGAACAGATCCAGCATCTTGTCCAGAATCTGTTCTGTGATGGAGACTTCCTGAGGGAGGGGTGGGGGATGCTAGCTCCAGGTCAGTAGTAAGGCTCTTTCAGAGTTATAGTAGTGTGTGGGCTGTATTCTGACCTGTGATGCACTGTGGGAAATCCATACTGACTGCACTCTGGTCAGCCCCGGTGGAACTGAGTTCAGAATGAGACCCTGCAGTTTTGAATTGCCCCAGCACCTAGGAGGAGGTTGCCTGCTCTTTGGGGCAGGAATGTGGCTGGGTCATCTACTGCCCTACAAGCTCACAGTGGGATCGGAGTGCTAATTGGAGGGGGATGTTACTGCTGCTGCACCTGTAACTTTTTGCCTTTCGGTGTGTGACCATCCTCCGATGTCTCCAGAGTGATCTCTGACGTGGACAGAGTCTTGCTGATCAGCTGATCGGTGGGAAGGCTGGGCACCTCTATCCTCCTGCAATTGCCTTGGAAAACAGGACCGGAAGGAGCTTTTTACTCTCACGCACTGAAGGCTCAAACCAGCATTGCTTGTGCTGCTTGGGGGCAGGATTGGGCGCTCAGACGCGGGGTTCAGGAGCACTGTCATTTTCAGTTGTTTTCTGGCCCACCATAGTAACATTCTCTTCTTTCCTTCCCTTTTCAGCCCCTGGATATTGACAAAGGTGAGTTGCTGTGTTTGTGTGGCATAAGGCAGATGGGACTGAATTCCAGCCTGCAGCAGAGACCTCCTAATCCTACTGGCTGCATGGCAAGCAGAGCTCCTGACACTGCCAGTCCAGGCCAATAGGGTTCTGCTTTAGCTCCTGAAGCCTCTAATGTTGCTATAAAATAGTGGGGGCCCATCTTGCTCCCGGGGATTGGAAATGGGATAAAGAGCCATTCATCCTAGGGCACTGGTGTGCATCCATTTGGGGCTGCCAGTGCCTGAAATTCATTCCCACTGGGTCATGGCTGGCCAGGTGGGTCTCAGTTTAGCCCCTGGTTGAACAGGGGCCCCATCCCGCTGGCACTAGTTGGCAGGACTCAGCAGGAAGGCCAGGGACTCAATGGGCCCTGCCTGGACTGACCTTTACCCTACAAGCTGTTTACTCTGGGTCAGGTTTCTTTCCTCCTTTGTGGGTCTCCTCGTCCCCATTAGTCCCCAGGCCCTGTCCCTGGTGGATGATCTCTGGGTCATGCACTTTATTCCATTAGCTACCAGAAGGGGGCAGTGCCTCTCCCAGATGCTGTTGAGAAGCGGCTTTGATCATGGTAACAACAAGGAGTCTGGTGGCACCTTAAAGACTAACGGATTTATTTGGGCATAAGCTTTCGTGGGTAAAAACCTCACTTCTTCTGCATCTGAAGAAGTGAGGTTTTTACCCACGAAAGCTTATGCCCAAATAAATCCGTTAGTCTTTAAGGTGCCACCAGACTCCTTGTTGTTTTTGTAGGTACAGACTAACACGGCTACCCCCTGATATTTGATCATGGTAACTATGTGGGTGTTATGTCTTGCTCTCATGTGAGAGGTTTCCGGCCAGCCCTGTGTATGTTGCAGACGAGGAACTGTACCCCAGCTTGGTGTCCTGGTTAGAGTGGAGTCTAACAGCTTTTCTCTTGCCACCAGGGCCAGGCTCAGCCAAGGAGCTGATTAAATCCATCAATGAGAAGTTCGCTGGAGCAGCTGGCTGGGAGGGAGCAGAATCATATCCTTTATGCTCACACATCAACCAGCCTGCCTCTGGGCTTCTCTCACTGGCAGCCTGCTGGTGTGTCTGGGCATCTGTGCTGCAGGAAGACTCCTCTCCCCCCGGCATGTCCCTCCTTCCACAGGGGGTCTCTCTCACACACACACACACTTTGCTGTTGGGAGAGGAGAGCTGGGTGGGAAAAGCCATCTGAATACTGTGTCCCTTGTGGTATGTTGGGTCCAAACCATGAGCCATCGCCTGGTGCATCCCACCAGAGAAGGGGCTCCGCTGACCATCTCAGCCTCCTCCATTGCCCACCCGGTCTGTGCCTTGCCCTGCATAGTCCCCACATTGGCTCCACCTGTGCAGCCAGTTCCTATGCCCCCTCCCTGCTTCTGTCAGACACTGTCTCCGTGCTGCATTTTCTTTAACACGTGACACATTAAAGAAGCCTGAAGATAAGAAGCAGTTGGGCGATTTCTTTGGGATGTCGAACAGCTACGCTGAGTGCTACCCTGCCACGTAAGGGCTCTCCGCTCACTGGGGGCAGGGGGTCACTGTGCAGCTGCTTCCCAGGCAGCCGGGGGGGGGGGTTGGTCAGAGCTGAGGAGCCCAGAGAGGCACTTGCCTGGCCCTGCTTGGAGAGCGCCCTGCAGGCTGGCTGTGAGCGCTCAGCTTGCTGGAGGGAGCAGATTATGTACATCTGACTTTAGCTGGGCAGCTCCCTGGGCCAGATGACAGCGAGTCCTGCATTGCCAGAACAGAGAGTACCTGAGTACCTTTGGTTGAACTGTGTGTGCTGCAGGGTCTCAGCCAGTGCCCCAGCTGACTCTCCCCCTCCCCTTTCAGCATGGACGACATGGCTGTGGACAGTGATGAAGAGGTGGACTACAGCAAAATGGATCAGGTATTCCCAGCACGCTTTTAAAGCCAGCTCATGAGGCTGGTGTAAAACAGAAGCTCAAAGGAGCCCTGGGACAGAATCTGTGCAGGGTGGGTCTGGACATGGACTCCTGGCTCCACAAAATAACTGTGTTTCTCAGATAGATGAAAGTGCTTGTTCTCTCTGCCCTGCAGCTGGATCTTTCTGGCCTGTTTGCTATGGGGGAGAGGAGGGTGAAAATTACCTGCCATCTGGTGCTCAATGAATGACTGGGGGAGGGATTCTAGTTGGATTGTGGCTGCTTGGCTCCCTGGCTCTTCACTCCTCTTAGCTTTGCTCACTGGCCAAGACTGGAGCCAGGCCCTTGCATCCTGTCTGCCTTCAGGACTTCCTGTTTCAAAGGAGGTGGGTGAGCAGGGACTAGCCAGCAAGCAAAGATAAATTAGAGAATCCATCTAAAGACTTGCCTTTCTGCTGCCTCTGAGAGCTGGGGGGAGGAAAACCCCATGGATGCAGTGACTGGCATCTCGTACCAGCTCTCTCTAGTTCTGGGCATGCTCATGGAAGCATCTCCCTTGTGGAGCTATGACCTTCTCAGAGATGGTATCCAGGAGCTCCCAGAACTATGTCTCCCCGCCAAGGGGGGGAGATCAGACTGCTCTCTGCTCGAGCCTGGCTTGGTTTGGAATAAGATCCCCAAGCCTGTTCGTCTCCCCTGGGCCTGCGATCTGCATGGGGAAGATCAGCCAGCTTCCTTTGATGAGCACCTAAGCCCCTTTCTCCTGCTGCAGGGTAACAAGAAGGGGCCTCTGGGCCGCTGGGACTTTGACACGCAGGAGGAGTACAGCGAGTATATGAACAACAAAGAGGCTCTGCCCAAGTAAGTCTGGTGCTCCCCCAGAAGTTGGGTGGGGGGGGAAGGGACCCCACCAGGGTGGAGAGAGCAGAGTGGGTGATGGTGCACAGCTGCTGCCTAGGTCCCTTGGGGAGGATGGTCCCTTGGCAGTACCCCTCAGGAGATTCCTACCTGGCCCAGTGGAGATGAAACCCTAATCTGGCCCAGTAATACAGGCAGCCTGGCTGGTCTGCAGCCACCTGCCGAGTTGTCCTCCACACCTGAGCTTCCCTCTGTTCACCTCTTCACCCCAGAGCGGCTTTCCAGTACGGAATCAAGATGTCAGAGGGCCGTAAAACACGCCGTTTCAAGGAGACCAATGACAAGGCCGAGCTGGACCGGCAGTGGAAGAAGATCAGTGCGGTGAGAGTCTGGGGGCAGGACAGAGCTGTTTCCCTGCTGGGGGTGCTGTTTGTCTAGGACTTGAACAGTTAGCACCCAGAGGAAGGATCCCTTGGGTTCTGGGGTTGGTTGAGCTGTCTCCGGTGTTGTCCAGGAGTGGGGACCTGACTTCATTCCTCTGGCCTCAACCACTCCCTCTTCCCACCAGTACAAATTGGTTTGGTTGAACAGAATTGTCCCTGAGCGGATCTTGCAGCTCGGAAGCCCTAGCTCCTGCTCCACCCTTACCAGGCCAAAGAACCTGCAAACTAGCTCCCTCCCCTATGGAGCCTTCACCTTTCACTGTGGGTAGGGAGAGCCCCCTGCCACAGGTCTCTGGGCAGCTTGTGTTGCTCTCATGTTGCAACATGGTCTTTGTGCTTTCTCTGCAGATCATTGAGAAAAGGAAGAAGTTGGAGGCTGACGGGTGAGTGGAATCTCCTCTTCATTAATGTGACTTTGCTGCTGGAGAGTGCTGCAGCGCCCGCACTGGGGCCGTGCCAGCCTTTGTCCCCAGCACAGGGGACAGCAGGACTGGATGGAGGAGGGGCTGAGGCTCTGCGATCCCCACAGTCTTCATCTATGAGAGACTACCAACCAGGGAGCCAGCTATTTTATTACGGTGTCCCACAGGCCTCTCCCCAGCGCTAGGCTCTGTGTACTGAAGAAACCCATTCCAAGTGATAGCATTAAACTCTCCAACCCTTCCCAGCCCAATTCTCCCTTGCAGCTCACTCCCCATCCACGAGAACTTTCCCAGACGGCTTAGCCCCCACAGCCCTCAGGAGAAAGCTGCCATCATGGACACGTCCTCTGGGACGTGGGTCAAGACTCCATCTTTCAATTGTTACTCTCCTGGGCTGGGCTGTCTCCTCCACCCCCAGAGGTATGTTCTTCTTAAATGCCCTGAGCACAAGCATGCTGAGCCAGCCTAGGAATCTGAGAGGCTCTGAGCTAGCAGGATCAGAAATGGAGGAGAGGTTATCTCCCCAGATCCTTCTATGGCATCATCGTATCTCTAATGCCTGACCCAGCCTGGCGTGAAGGGCTCTCTTAGGGGCTGTACTGCTAAGTCCCTCCACTCTTCACATAGCCTTGGGGAGCTCCAAAGAGAAGCTGTGTTTGGGCTCAAGTTTGCACCAGGGTTAAACTGAGGGACAGCTTGGGCTCACGGTTCTGATGTGGGCTTATGAAAGCCAGAGCACCCTTCAGTACACTGCTATTCCCTGCATTGCAAGCTCCGGTCCTCCGGCTTGTATTTGCCTTTGAGAACCAAGCAAGACACACACTGTCTCTTCAGTAGTGCTGCCTTGCTTTGGAAGGCAGGATGCCTGCCAAATTAAAAAACACAGTAAAAGAGCTAAAAAAAGAGCCACCGTGGCTTAACAACCATGTAAAAGCAGTGAGAGATAAAAAGGCATCTTTTAAAAAGTGGAAGTCAGATCCTAGTGAGGTAAATAGAAAGGAGCATAAACACTGCGAAATTAAGTATAAAAATGTAATAAGAAATGCCAAAAAGGAGTTTGAAGAACAGCTAATCAAAAACTCAAAAAACATTTTGTTATTACCTTTTAAGTACATCAGAAGCAGGAAGCCTGCTAAACAACCAGTGGGGCCCCTGGACGATCGAGATACAAAAGGAGCACTTAAAGACGATAAAGTCATTGCAGAAAAACTAAATGAATTCTTTGCTTCAGTCTTCACGGCTGAGGATGTTAAGGAGATTGCCAAACCTGAGCTGTCCTTTGTAGGTGACAAATCTGAGGAATTGTCACAGATTGAAGTGTCACTAGGGGAGGTTTTGGAATTAATTGATAAACTTAACAGTAACAAGTCACCGGGACCAGATGGCATTTACCCAGGGCCGGTGCAAGGATATTTTGCGCCCTAGGCAAAACTTCCACCCCCCGATGTCCAGCCCCCACCTTCCTACGGCCAAGTTCCCCCCAGGGGCCCAGATGTTCACAAAGTGCAGGGGGCACGGGCGGGGGGGGGGCTGCAAAGAGGGGGGTCATATGGGGGCTCTTTCAGGGGGTGAAGGTGGCAGAGAGGGGGGTGCATGGGATTGTTGCAGGGGGTGGAGGTGGCCAAGAGGTGGAGGGGGTTGGGGTGTAGTGGCAGGGAAGAGATTGCACAGAGGCAAAAGGGGCTCATTGCAGGGGGTGCAGTGGCAGGGAAGGAATGGCACAAGGGAGAAGTGGGCAGGAGGGGGTTGTTGCAAGGGGCTGGCAGGTGGGGGTGTGTCTGTGCCCAGGGTTGTTGCAGGGGGGTGAAGGTGGCACGGAGGAGTTTGCACAAGGGAGGAGTGGCAGAAGGGAGATGGCAGGTGGGGGGGGGGTCCCCGAGGTTGATGCAGGGGTGAAGGTGACCATGGCTGGCTGGCCGGGGGGCCTTGCTGGGTGGAGGTTGCCCAGAGGCAAAAGTGGCAGGACAGGGTGGGTTGGGGCGGGTGGTGCACAGGGGAGAAGGTAGCTGGTCGGTGGGTGTTGGGGGGGGGGGTGGCGCTGGCTGGGAGAGGGGTGCCCAGGTTGCTCCCACATACACCATTTCCCCAGGCCAGGGACTGGACCTGCCCACCCCGCAGCGCTCCGCGGTCCTGTGTGACTTCCTGCGGCCAGGCTAGGTACCTTCCAGGCGGAGTAGACACCCAGTTTCTCCGCCCAAAGAACAGAGCGCAGCTGCGCCTTCTTCCCCGTGCCGCGGGCCCTCCGCCGCCCACGGAGCTCTCATCGGTGGCACAGGCAGCCAGCCCCCCCGAGCCTGCTGCCGCCGCCCCTGAGAGCCCCAGGGGCGGCGGGGAGCCCGGCTCGGCCCGTGGCGCAGGGAAGAAGGCGCAGCTGCTAGTGCTAGACCCTCCCCTTCCCCGCTCGGCCGCCGGCTGCTCCCACCGCGGGCAGCCCCTCTGGAGCCGGGAGGCTGAGAGCAGCGGCAGCCTTGTGCTCCGCTGTTTAAAAAAAATGTTTGGGGCACCGCTTTTTGGCGCCCCCAACCACTTGGCGCCCTAGGCAGCCGCCTAGTCCGCCTAGTGGTTGCACCGGCCCTGCATTTACCCAAGAGTTCTGAAAGAACTCAAATGTGAAATTGCGGAACTATTAACTATGGTTTGTAACCTGTCCTTTAAATCAGCTTCTGTAGCCAGTGACTGAAAGATAGCTAATGTAACGTCAGTATTTTAAAAGGGCTGTAAAGGTTATCCCGGCAATTACACACCAGACAAATTAGTTGAAACAAAAGAATAAAATTGTCAGACACATAGAAGAACATAACTTGTTGGGCAAAAGTCAACATGGTTTCTGTAAAGGGAAATCATGTCTTACTAATCTATGAGAGTTCTTTGAAGGGGTCAACAAACATGTGGACAAGGGGGATCCAGTGGACATAGTGTCCTTAGATTTCCAGAAAGCCTTTGACAAGGTCCCTCACCAAAGGCTCTTACGTAAATTAAGTTGTCATGGGATAAGAGGGAAGATCTTTTCATGGATTGAGAACTGGTTAAAACACAGGGAACAAAGGATAGGAATAAATGGTAAATTTTCAGAATGGAGACGGGTAACTAGTGGTGTTCCCCAAGGGTCAGTCCTAGGACCAATCCTATTCAACTAATTCATAAATGATCTGGAGAAAGGGGTAAACAGTGAGGTGGCAAAGTTTGCAGATGATACTAAACTGCTCAGGATAGTTAAGACCAAAGCAGACTGTGAAGAACTTCAAAAAGATCTCACAAAACTAAGTGATTGGGCAACAAAATGGCAAATGAAATTTAATCTGGATAAATGTAAAGTAATGCACATTGGAAAAAATAACCCCAACTATACATACAATATGATGGGAGCTAATTTAGCTACAACTAATCAGGAAAGAGATCTTGGAGTCATCGTGGATAGTTCTCTGAAGATGTCCATACAGTGTGCAGTGGCAATCAAAAAAGCAAACAGGATGTTAGGAATCATTAAAAAAGGGATAGAGAATAAGACGGAGAATATCTTATTGCCGTTATATAAATCCATGGTATGCCCACATCTTGAATACTGGGTACAGATGTGGTCATCTCATCTCAAAAAGGTTATTCTGGCATTAGAAAAAGTTTAGAAAAGGGCAACTAAAATGATTAGGGGTTTGGAACGGGTCCCATATGAGGAGAGATTAAAGAGGCTAGGACTTTTCAGCTTGGAAAAGAGGAGACTAAGTGGGGATATGAGAGAGATATATAAAATCATGAGTGGTGTGGAGAAAGTGAATAAGAAAAAGTTATTTACTTGTTCCCATAATATAAGAACTAGGGGCCACCAAATGAAATTAGCGGGCAGCAGATTTAAAACAAATAAAAGGAAGTAGTTCTTCACACAGCGCACGGTCAATCTGTGGAACTCCTTGCCTGAGGAGGTTGTGAAGGCTAGGACTATAACAGGGTTTAAAAGAGAACTAGATAAATTCATGGAGGTTAAGTCCATTAATGGCTATTAGCTAGGATGGGTAAGGAATGGTGTCCCTAGCCTCTGTTTGTCAGAGGGTGGAGATGGATGGCAGGAGAGAGATCACTTGATCATTACTTGTTAGGTTCACTCCCTCTGGGGCACCTGGCATTGGCCACTGTCAGTAGACAGGATACTGGGATAGATGGACCTTTGGTCTGACCCAGTATGGCCATTCTTCTGGAAGTAGGTGCTTCAGTTTGGGCGTGGGGGGTGCTCTCCCAGACTGCTGCACCTTATGGGAATACACTGGTAGTGTTCATTCTCCATAAGGAAACAGGTTGAGGGGAAGCCTCAGATTAGAGCCCCAGGGCCGCACTGACATGCTGATTGATGTCTGACAGCTGGCTTCATGTTTCTCTGGTTTCAGGGTGGAGGTGAAGAGACCGAAGTACTGACGTCCCAGCCAAATTCCTGTCTCTCATCCTTGGAGCCCTTGGGGCTTTGATTTCTGGACACTTCGTTTCTATTAAAATTCTGCAGCTCTGATTCCTGTCGCAGGCTCTGGCACAAAGCTGCTTTGCTCTCTGCTCTCAGGAAAGAACAGGGCTTGGGGGCGTACATATGCACTTTGGGGGAGAGCTCTCCTCTGTCTAGAGGAGCCTGGGGCCCCTGGACTGCTGGTGGCTGTGCATCTATACTGTGCCCCTTCTTCCAGAGTCTCTGCTGCTGCGTCATGTGATTTGTAATCCTTGTCGATGCAATAAAATTGTGCTTTGTGTGTCACTTTGGGCTTGGCCTGTTGGGTTGCAGCTGGAATGGATAGGATGTGGGGGGGCTGCCTGTGGGATGTTTGAAAGGCTTCTGCTTCCCTTTTCTCTCTCCTGTGGACAATCACTGTGCATCACCCCTTTCAAACAGAAGGAGGCAGAGTATGTCTGGAGGGGCTTATCCCCTGCTGGGGGCTGGCTCTCAAGGCAAATGCTGCTTTCACTATGGTGTCCAAAGAGTCAACGCAGTGGTGGCGGTATTTAATCTTAGCCTGGCTGGGCCACTGATGGTCTACAGCAGGGGTAGGCAACCTATGGCACGTGTGCCAAAGGCAGCACTGGAGCTGATTTTCAGTGGCACTCACTGCCCAGGTCCTGGCCACTGGTCCGGGGAGCTCTGCATTTTAATTTAATTTTAAATGAAGCTTCTTCAATATTTTAAAAACCTTATTTATTTTACATACAACAATAGTTTAGTTATATATTATAGACTTATAGAAAGAGACCTTCTAAAAACGTGAATTTATTACTGGCACGTGAAACCTTAGAGTGAATAAATGAAGACTTGGCACACCACTTCTGAAAGGTTGCTGACCCCTGGGCTACAGTTACATTCTGAGCAGTCAGTTGAACCTTTTTCATGGTGCCCATCACTAGGACAGAGAAAATCCCAGTGCCCTCTGTGTTCAATGGGAGGAAGGGAAATGCTGCCCTTACTGGGTCACGAAAAGCAGCTCAGCTTCTTGCCAGGGAAGAGAAGGGTCCTAAAAGTTCAGCGACTCCCTAGAAAAGAGTTAGAAAACATGAACTACCCCCACCAAAAATGGGATAGACCCCATTTTTGGAGGGGGTAGTTCATGTTTTCTAACTCTTTCCCTTTCCCTGGGGTGTTTCTCAGCCTTCTGCTACTATTTTCAGTGGGGTCACTGCATACTGGGCTGCTGAGCTGTTGGTTGTCACTAGCAAGGTGTAGATCCAAATGAAGACTAAATTATGGTGCTCCTAGTGCCATGCCCTAGATCCCAGCCAGGGGGGTTGTTAGTGCTGTTAGGTTCACCTGCTCCCTATTTCCTCCAGCTGTGGACTTAGCAGACTTTTGCACCCTTGAAAATTGCTGAATCTCCCACTGAAGGAGAGAGGCTCTGTGGGCACAGGGCCTCCACCCCATGGTTTGTACCTGGAAGAGATCAGGCTGCACCTGAGTTCTCAGGTGCTCAGTTGATTCATCTGCTCCCGTCCCTCTCCAGTGTTTTCCTTAATCTCAGGCCAGTCCTGAGTCAGTGCAAACCACCCTAAATCTTCCCACCAGGAGGCAGAGGAGGGGCTGGGGGGAGTTTGGGTCCTGGGCTGTAGCTGGATTGTGGGTGCTTGCTCTACCCCACTCCCTTTCCTAGGGCTGAAGAGGGTTTGGGCTCCAGTCACTGAGAGTTTGGTCTTTGGCAAAGGCCCTTGGTGCCCCTTATTAATCATCAGTCTTCACTCTCCTCTGGGGGGGAAAAGTTGCACCCCTTGCCAGGTCCCCACCCTCCCATACAAATGACCAGATGTGTCCATGGACCTGAAGCCCCGGACAGGCTGGGATGTCCGAAACTGAGTGAGTGAAGAAGTGCTGGTCTAGGAGCACTAGGAGGGGAACTGAAGCACAGAGCACACATGGCAAAAACTAGCATGTGTCTCCAAAGCTTCAGCTTTCGGTGACTTGCCTAGCATCGGCTGGGAATCGGGGCCAGAACACAGCCCTGTAGGGTAGCAGAACACAGCTTGAAAGGCAGAGCCAACCATTCTAGCCCCACTTTCCTCATTTAATGAGACGAAATTCATTTGTGTGGCTCCCAGGGCCCTGTAAAAATGGGTATGTGGGATCAGGTCTGTTTTACAGACATACTGCTCAACCACACACATACATTAGGCACATGCCTTCACAGGGCCTGTGTAGCAATATAGCTAAGACTTGCTTCTTTCTTACCACAAACCTGGGTTCTGTGTCTAAATCTACTACAAAAGAACATCCCAGCCTTTCAAAAGCTCATTAAGCTAAGGAGGGGGGAGAGTGAAGCTTGTCCATCTTCTGGGATAGCGCTAGAGTCTCATCTGCCATAACTAGACTACTGATGTGTTAAGAAATGTTAATGCTAAGAAGCCTGGACAGCCAAGGCTTTTTACAGGGTTACAAGGCCAGAGAGTGCCCAGGAACTCATCCCTGAGAGTTCTGGAATCTGAAGTGAAGGAGGTAGTAGATGAGAGCCAGTCTGGGAAGGATTGGAACCTGGAAGGAATAGAACTGAAGCACTGAGATATCAAGGCACAAAAATTTCTCTTCCAAATTTCAACATTCAGTGATTTGCCCAATGTCCTGGGGGAACCCACTGATGTGACTTCTTATGATTTCATTGAGTCTGGTTGTATTTGTTGTTTTTTTGAGCCCCAGCTCCTGGAGTCAAGTGATTATATGAGACTCTCAGCTTTCTTTTAGCCCTTAAGATGAGGAAAGAGCATGAAAATTAGACCCCCAAAGAGTCAATAAAGAAAAGGGAAATAAGAATCCAGTATGATTTTTAGTAGCTCATGATTTTTAAGGTACTATTGTGATTTTTAGGGCTTGACTCCTGATGTGTGATCACTTGTGGAGGGCAACAGGGGGGCAGAGCTAGGGCTAAAGTACTGGCGTGTAGGGCTCATGCCCCTGCCTTTGCCACAGGCCCAGCCTTCCTTGTGCTGCCTCCACCTTAGAGGGCAATCCCCTGTGTGCAGCTGGGGCCCAGCCCTGGGCTGGCAGGGGGAATTCGCTGTGTGTGCAAGGGTAAGAGTCTGGGTGGCATCCACAGGGCTCAAACCCCTGGAGGAGTGTGGATTCCAGAGCAGAGCTGTCAATGGAACTGCTGGGCTGGGGCCAGCCCAAGACCCCAGATACCAAAGAGCTATAGGAGACCCCTGGGGGAGTAGGGCCATGCAAATGACCAAGCCTCACTCCACCTCCTGGGCACCTGTGACACTCTGTACCTCCAGGTACCATGCTGGAACCCCCATATTCACCACTGTAATTATGTTTTGTACAAAGTATGCCATGTGAGGTATCATTTTAACCAGGGGTCTCAAACTCAATTTACCTTAGGGCCAGTGCAAGTCCTCACATCCTCCCACCAGGCCAATAATGTTACTGAAGATGGTGTTCAGAAAAGAAAATGTTTATATTGTATTTTTTATTTCAAATTTCTTAGAATTAATAAAATTGTCAAACAACTTTATACAATTCTTCGCTTGCCAGAGAGTTTTTAGTGTTTGCCAGACACCTGGCAACGCTTCAGTTCTGTCAGTTTGTTGACGTTTGGCCTCAGTGACTGAGCAGTTGAAACGTTCAGGATTGCTGCAAGGTGTGCATCAGATCATTGTGTTCGGTATTTAGACTTGTTTATATTCATTATAGAAAAAAGTGATGCTGCCTCCATGGCTGACTCTGCCCGGCAACTAATGATGCTGC